TGGCTGTGAACATTCTAAACTAACACAAGTCTCATTAAGTGTCCAGTTTAAGGGTATTACACAGAAACATACAAAGGGAACATGAATCAAATATGCACTTTTATTCATTTACAATAACTTATAAAGTACATCATTCTGATTAAAGCTAAGGGCATACAAAACTGTCTAACAATGGGCACACCACTCAGTGGCGCAGTATTATTAGCCTGTATTGCACAGGTCATCCGGTAACTCTTCTACTATTTTCAGGGTTTGTTTGGTTCGTTGGGATATAGGTCTAGAATTAGAATTGGAAGGGTCAGCTATTCTGGTTCCAACCGTTTGGTCGGGTGGAATGAGATTTTAATTTCCATTCCTGGCAGAATCTGACGCTGACTCTCCTTCAGAGTTGTGCATAGACCTTGTTCATGGATGAAGCTTTGGGTTCAGGCATCAGATTGGTTCCATGGAAAAAGCCAAGCCTGAGCCTGGCCATGAATAAGTCTAGGTGTGCATATCTTATGGAATCTAATTTCAATTCTTTTCTGACTAAATGGGTATGCGAATATGTGATTCCAATTCCAAGGGACATCGATTCCAATTCCAACTATGAACAAGGGGTGCTGATTCCGATTCCAGCCAAAAACCTAATGGAATCTAATGTTTTAAAAACCGACCCGAAAATAAAAACGTTTTAGCTACCGGTTTTCAGGTCAATAGTTTGATCGTCCGGATCGAACGGTTCGGATAGTTTGCCATTAGGGCAAATATTTTACGAGTTATGAGATTTGAGAAAGGAGAGAAAGTGATGTTGTCGGCTGAGAAAGAAAAAAAAAGAAGAAAAGAAAGAAAGAAATGAGAGGAAAAAAGAAAAGAAGAGAAAGGAAAGAAAGGAGGGAAGAAGGAAGAGGAGGGTGGTTCGACGCTCACCGGCGACGGCAACGGCAATAAACTCTGAGTTCTCAGATCTGAGATCTAAGCTCTCATATCTGAGTTCTAAGATCTTCTTCTTCTTCTTCTTCAAATCTGAGACATTCTCTCCTGCAACTTTATACTGCAAGCCACTGCTTGGATTAAACGAGTCAACGGTTTGACCTTTCAGGTCAGCGATTTTTTGACAAAGTCAACGGTTTTTGACCCAGTAATGAATTAGGGGTGAAACAAAACCGGTTGCTTGGATGATTTCTGGGCCAAGTAGTCCAATCGCCCGGATCAACGACGATTCAAAAATATTACTCATGTTTCTTTAGCATATCCTGATATTTCACATTTCATATAATATATACATTACTCTCATATGTGTTTTGTATCTTATAGTCATTTTAGCTTTAAATTTAGCGACATTTACGATTTAGAGTCTGTCTAAATATATTGGTATGTCAAAATTTCCACCATATCTATGATTTTTATTGCAGTTACCAATATATATATATATATATATATATCTCTCGTTTATGTTGTTTGTTGCAGTTAGGGCTGTCAATGGGTGGACCCAAACCGATTGGGCCACTTCTGGTCCCAGGATCAGTACTGATGGGCCGGTTCTGATTCTTATTCTATTGTCCCGATTATTATCAGTTCGGACCGGTTTTATCCAATCCCAACCCAAGCCATATATAATTGAGTCCATCGTATCAGACCTGATTGTCCCAAAAATCGATCAATTTAGTTTTGGGTCTAAAATAAAATAAACAATTGGCTTTGAGGTTTGATTTACCACGCCACTCATCGAAAGAAATGAATGTACTAATGTAGTCAAAGATGTGATCAATTGAAGTAGTAGTAGACGTGAAGGATGATACTAAACTGGCCAACAGCATCTCACTTTATTTATAATAGCCAGTGAGTAGGTACAAAGTCAGACAATCTACCCCCACTAGACAGAGACCCTACCACTTCATTTGTGAGGAGAGAGAAAGCAAATAATTAAAAAATAGAACCACGTGTAGAATAGATTGAATGGTTAGTGGTTGTTAAGGTGTACACGTCTGTCTGAGGTCTTTACATTTATGACCGTGACAAAAGGCACAAGACAAACACGTGCCGTAACCCACACGTGTCGGTTCACCACATTTTTTTTAGCCGGATATTGAACAGTTGAACACCACTTGGACTTTGGTTTCACATGTGCTTTCCCATAAAAGGAAGGTTTTCCACGTTCAACTATAAAACCCTAGTCAATACATGGCTGAAGCGTAAACTACAATCTGAAGTAAGCGTGAAGGAGAGAGAGAACCCATATCTCCTAATAAAATAAATAAATAATGGGTTTGCCTATTTTGGTTTATCTTAATCTCCTATATCCCTAAACCAATCCCTATCCTTAAAGAAGGGCCTAACCCTCCCCCTACCCAATACCCTAAAATTAATTAATATGTAAAACAGTATAAGTCATTTGGTTGGACTCATTCATCCCATTTATTCCCATTAAGTAGGAGTCAATTTTTTTATTAAACTTTATGTTGAGGTAAAATTTAAGGGTTCCTATTGTTCAATCCATCTTATAAATTTTAATATAATTATTAAATTAAAATAATGATAAGTGGGGGGAATGAATCAAATTCAAGGGGTAATGAATTCACAGGTAGGGGTATTGGTCAATAAAACCCTCGACCTCATCCACTCAACTTTGTCCCAACAAAATTTGTCCAGGGCCCAGCTAGTTTGGAGCAATAGTAAATTTGTCCCAACAAAATTTAGAAGAAAAAAGAAAACTAAAAGGATGTTCTGGGCATTCTTGCATATTCTTGGTGTTAATTGAATGCTTCCTCTTACCCGTGATTGGCGGGCCCATAAGTGATGCAGTCACTTTCCCAAACATTCTCACCTATAATGATCTGATCAATGAAAAAGAGCTGGGTCTCGATGCAATGTAGGAGTGATTAATAATATCAATTTCCTCATTCGTCTCACCTTTTGTCAGCTTGGATTCTTCCATCCAGTGGTTTTGGCCTTCTCTCGCCATTGAGAACGACTTCTTTTCTATATTAATGAATTTCAATACTGAATGGTTTAAATGAGTGAACTGTTATAAAATGAAAAGGTATGATTATCGATAAAAATATTTACATCAATTTTATTGATAGTATCTTTACACCGATTATGGATGTAAAATTCTACTGTGAATAGAGTTTATATCGATTAAAACTACATTCAAAACAAATACGATAAATATAGATCAAGAGTGAAGTTTTACATCAGCTTGTATTTATACCAAAAACAAAAAAAAAGGATAAATTACGCCGTAATTTGGGTAATGGCAATTACCCTTGAATTTTTCTTTTTTGGTAACGAATTACCCCTGAAGTTTCAAACTCTAGGAACGATTTCTTTTTCATTTGATACTGTTTTAATTGATATTAATTACATGTGTTTTTTGTCATTCTAGGTTTTCATAGAAGTTTTAAGTTTTTTATTTTTTTTTTTGTAATTTCCATTTTGAAGAGGTTTTTCGGATGGATAATTTGATAAATTAACTAGTCACTCAACTGAGAGGGGTTTTTATCCAAAATGAAAGTTCAAGGGTAATTGCTACTACCTAAAATACATACAGGTAAGGATGCAAATAGATCGGACTGGATTCGAATCAAGGCATATCTGAATCCGATTCGAAGATCTGATCAGATTTGATAGGCCTTGATTTGAATTTGAATTCTATCCGTAGGTCAGATCTTCAAATCTGATCCAATCTAACTTGTTTTCTTTAAAAATTAATAAATTATTAAAAGAAATAAAATAGACCGGTTTAAATAGAAAACAAAAAAATATAAATATTTTTAATTATTTTCATTATATATATACATATTTTTAATATAAAAAAATTATAAAAATATAATATATATTATATAAATATTTATATTTATAAATATATAACATATATGAGATCCGATAGAGGTGATCTGAATCCGATCCCATTTTTATTATCCGATATGATTCCAAATCGAATGGTAGTCATCCGAATCCAATCCAATTTCTATTATCCGATATGATCCTATCCGACCAAAAATATCCGAACTGGGATGATCCGAATTCGACCGTCCCGGATTTGCACCCATATATACAGGGTATAATCTGTAATTTACCATTTTAAACAAATTGATAAAGAATCAAGAAACACCCGGCCTATAATAGTAAATCATCAGTAAAATTATTAATTAATCTTGTATTGACGGATGACGAAGCCTAGAAAGAGAGTTTTGAATTGATATTTTGATGATGAAAAGAATGTAAACATCAAAAACCCAAGATGAGAACTACGTCCTAAATCATGTTTATTTCTTTTGCTTTCTAATCAATCCTCTGATCTTTATCCTTTCCTTCTTTGTTTTTTATACGACAGACGAAGTTACAAGCAGATTTCGATAGAGCACATCCGTACAGAACACATCAAGACATGAACAAACAATAAAAAAAACAATGGGGTAAAGAAAACAAAAGATAGAAAATTAACTAGAGGAAGAGGACGGATAGTAGCCGGAATCCGTCCACGACGGCGTCGGGAAACCTGATCCACCATCACCACCACTACGCTGGTCACGATTTTCTGGCTGCATCATGTAACCCATTTGATGATCCCCGAAAAACAGAGGAAATGCAGTAGAGGATGTCGAAGAAGAAACTGAAGAGGTGAGTGGGGAAGAATAGGAAGAAGAAGAGGAGGGGGAGGAGGATGAACAGTGCATAGAAGCAGCTAAAGACGAGGAATAATACATCTGCTCCAGTAAACTCGTGGGTTGCCTTGAAAAATCTCTGCCGGAGCTCTGAAGTAATTGAGAGTATTCGTAGTAATCTCTTAGGTCAGAGCTGTGCTGCTGCTGTATGTGAGATTGTACGAACGGTTGAGACATTTGAGAAGTCGTTGAAAGGGTATTTGGAGAACCGGAAATCGTCAACTGGGTCGTGGCAGGATTGCACAAAGATGGCCTGAGTCTGACATTCTCGGGAAAGTTGAGTTTTGCTCTGTTTCCTCTAAATCTCAGAGCAGCTTCATCGTAAGCCCTGGCAGCAGCTTCAGCTGTATCGAATGTACCAAGCCAAACTCTGGCAGCTTTATGTGGGTCCCTTATCTCTGCTGCCCATTTCCCCCACGGCCTCTGCCTCACCCCTCTGTATCTTCTTCTCCTCTCTCCCGATTCTTCATAGGTTGAAATTTCATCTGTAGCTGATGAAGTTGAAGTTGCAACAGTGGTAGTTGTTATAATGTTCGGACCTTCTTCTTTAACTACTGTAACAGAAAAAACATGAAAAAATTAACATCCAAATTTTTGTACGAAACGATTATAGATAAACAGAACATTCTTATGCAGAATGCACGGAGAAGATTAAAATGGAAATAAGTTTAAAAAAAGAAAAACAGGATTTTAGTAAATAAAACTCATTGGGTTGTTAATAAAAACGCACTGAGGCCCTGTCTGAAAGTATAAACTATGCAACTTTCATAGGAAAAAAGCAAGGAAATATGGAAGTGAAGGTGGTAAATAATATCTTAAGAATCGAAGAAAAGAACTGCCCATTGAGGAAAAAATACCTGGCAAAACGGATGAAGACTCTCCTAATGACGTCCTGAATTCACCAAATCCTCTGTAAATCCTCGAAACTGCTTCAGGCAACTGGCTAGAACTCTCTTCCTCACGTCCTCTCTTCTGTCCTACACCGCTCAATGAAGAAGAAGAGGTATAAGAAGATGTATAAGAAGAAGAAGGCGAAGCAGCAGCATAGGTCACCGCCACCCCAGAAGAAGCTAAAGTTGGTGCAGCAAAACCAGAAAAATTTGGTCGATAAATCCAATCTCCACTCCTCTCTCCAGACACAACGTGCGTCAGAGCCGAAACCATGGCTGACATCTCTCTTGAACGATTGTAACTCGAGAGAATGGATGCCGCCGATACATCCACGAGCTGCTGCTGTGTGGGTAGTGCCGGTGCTTGCGAGAACCCTTCATTGGTGTCTCCCTCGGTTTCTCGTGGGTTCGCCACCTTCAGAAGGCACATGAAAACCGAGCGAAGACTCAACGGACTTTGACTCCCTTTCCGGCGATTTCTAACAAGCAACGCTTTCAGCCGTGATTGATTAGCGATCTATGAACTTATAAAATTCAAACGTGACGCGCCGCCTTATGACCCGTCTGGTTCTGCAACTCTCTCTCCTTCTCTGTATACGTCTATCGAGATGTTTTTCAGGGGTTTGTTTGATTTTCATTTTTGAATCATAATTTATATATAGATTTCATTTGCAAAAAGAAATGCAAAAGATGCGGTGTGGTTTTACGTTCACACAGTTTTTGACTGACAATCTGGTGAGAAGTAAGTTACAATGGATATGGACGGGAGGGAGAGAGAGAGAGGGAGAATGTCGGTGTCAGGACTGAGGAGGAGAGAGAGAGAATGAGTTCATCTTTGAATTGAAGTTCTCATGTCGTGCCGACATTGAAAGACGCCGTTGGGTGGACCGTGGCTTCAGGTTCAGGCTCGTGGATTAAATGATTTTGGTGATTTTAGGGCTTAGGGGTTCTTCATCCTCTGTAGTCTGTGTACTATACTAGCTTTCCTCCTTGGATCTTAACTCTTAAAGTTATATAATTATGTTTGATTTGAAGGGAAAGGTAAGGAAGGGAAGAAAAAGCTAAGGAAACCTATATAAAATTACTTTTCCCTTACTTTTCCTATTTTTTTTCCTTTAAACCAAACATAGCCTTAAGTGATGGATAGGCTCTATGGTGGGTAACACAGCTGCGTTCTTAATTTGGGAGAATCTTTAGGGTTTTATTGTATGATAATATAAGTGATGTGGGCGTGTTGTCCACCGTTTGATGGTTCAATGCTTGTTTGACAGAGGAGCAAATTAAAAGCTATACGCCTACACCCAACAAAGCCACATCATTCATGTTCATGTCCTTATAGAAGCTTAAACTACACTGAGCAGAGATCGGATCAGCCCCCCACGAAACTGCCCCCCACAACTTCCCACAGTATATCTCCGCCGTGCATTGAGAATATTTCCCGATACTAATATCATTATTTCGGGTATATCATCGGAAGATATTTTCATTACACAGCAGGAATGTGCTGTGTGACATTGTGGGGGCAGTCTTGTGGGGTTGATATAACTTACCACAAAATTATAATTTATAACATGGGTAAGGATTAAGGGCCCATTTGAGGGCTGAGCTCAAGACTCACCTAAGCTGGTTCAATTATTTAAACAATGTATTTGGTATTTTTTGCATCATTGCATTGTGTGTTTATTTTCTCACATCAGTGTCATATAGAATTAAGATTAGCTGAATGCGATGATTGTTCATCGTGCTAGAGAATCAATAAAAATGTTTCATGTCAATAATAAATTTATGGGTTTCACTCTGAAAGGAGCAAGTCTCATGTATTTTATTATTGGCATACAAATATTCTGTTTTTACCTCATGTTGTATTAAATAAAACATTTCCTATTTAAGAAGATGTTGTCATTGACATTTTTTCTTTTGGAGAAGTATAGATGGATTCAATGTAGATTTATGATTTCCACTATAGAGCTATAAACATTCAAAAGGTCAAAAATCCATGTCCTATGCACCTATACCCGTCTGTGAATTGGCATTAATTCCTAAATGGCACCTATCCCAAATGTACTTTGAACCTACAAATTTTGACTCTGGGCTGAACCAACATTCTCCCCGACAACATTACATTTATGCATTGACAAATGACAGACCAATGCATATTTACATTGATAATAAGATATAAAAGTACATCAATAAAAAGAAGTAAATTTTGCATTCAAGTGGGCTTTTGATAATATATATATACACTTGAATGCAAAATTTACTTCTTTATTAAAATTTGTATTTGCATCCATTACAGCTAAAAGTCAAGTCTAAAAGTAAATTTGTTGGTGCAAAACTAACCCAACTTTATAATTTATATAGACCGTTTTATACTCTACATATTTTCATTCACATTTATTGCCTTATGTGGTGATTAATGACACTTATATATAATAAACAGTGATAAGTAAATTAATATTACATTCATACAATGTATTTCGTATCCAACTAGATTTTTTTTCTACATTTCCAATCCTTAAATCAAGTACAAATGCAATGGGTATGCAACAACACAATAGCCTCAAATAGACAATCCTTCCCACGACGAATTGGGATTAGCTGAATGCTTTAGGTGTGTAGCGGCTGTGAGATCAATGATAATGCCCCATTCCATTGATAAAATAGATGGGTCCACACTAATAGGGCGAATGCTTGTGAGTCCCATATATTAACTGTTGTGGAGTGTTATAATTGGTTCTACAGCCTGCTCTACAGTTATTGCATTCAGCTAATCCTATCTCTCCAATGAGTAACCAAAAGCCAATTTGGGCTATGTGGATTTTCCACCAATCTATAGGCTATCTTTGTTGGCCCCCCATCTCATAAAGCTTATGAGTTGTTTCACTTTAGCCCTCCTACAAGCCCAGGCGGATCTGTGCCACGGGTTGAGACTTGGGTTAGGCCGAGCAGTGGACCAGGTCAAGCCATGAGAGGTATATTTAAGAAAAATAAAAAAAAAATAATGAAAGATTTAAAGTAAATTAACAAATAAACAAAAAATCAAAAAACAAATCTTAAAATTTTATTTTATATGAATTTTGATGTATACAATTGTTTATATATGTAATAATAAAATGAAATAGTATAAAAAATTGAAAATAAAATTTTATACATTAATATATTATTATATAATATATATATATATAAATATATATACATATATGGGTCGTGGTGGCAGGCAGGCTGCAGGCGGCATGGCTCGCGTGCTATTGTGCCAAGCCAACCCAATTTCATGTCAGGCCATAGGCAGCACAGCCTGCATGCCACCATACTGGGCTAGGCCGGGTAGGGGTGCTCACAGTTCGTTACCCGAACCGTGAGCCTTTTTTTGAACTGAACCGGTAGTAGCGGTTTTTAGAAAACCGGTAGTCGGAACTGAACCAAAACCAGTCAGTTAACTGGTTGACTGTTTCGATTAACTGTTGGTTCGGTTCACCAGTTTTTTGGTTTTTTAGTTTTTATAATATATATTATAAAAATATATAATGAAAAATTATAATATATAATATATATAATATATATAAATATATAGAAAAACATATATACCGATCGGTTTGATTAACTACCAGTTTTTTATATTGATTAATCGAAACCGAATCGAAGTTTTTAAAAACACCAAACCGACTAGTACCTTCAGTTTTTAAAAACACTAAACCGATCGATTTGATTAACCGATATTCAATCAGTTTGATTTTTCAGCTTTTTTTTTTTTTTCTCACCGCTTGACACAGGCGACACTCGCACACTAGTAACTTATAAGTTATGTTTGGTGAAAAATCTTAACCGCCCAAATCGGCTGTATCATTTAAAAGGTTGCCTACATCAACAGCCTAAAACTATGTTTAGTGAAAAATAGAAGCAACCAAATCAGCTATGGACCAGCAAATGGAAGAGCGGTCCAGTTCGGCTTCTTTGAATATCATATCCGGAATGCTTGCCAAGATAATCCGAATTCTCTAATTCTTAGACAGCTAAGTTTATCTTCAGATCAGCCCTATCAAACAGGGACCCAAAGAAGTAAAGGTGAAGGAGGTTATCATGGTGCATAACATAGCCACGTGGCTTATAATTTTAGGCCTAATTTTTAAGGAAAGACCAAAAATGAAGTATGAAATCATGTGGGGTGTGGCAGTTCCAAGAAGGTGGTTAAAAACTCTTTTAAAAGAAAAGAAAAAAAAGAGCCTCGAAGTTACCCTCAAATACAGGGTAAGAAGAGGAACACATAGAGCACTTTTCAACCATATTCCTTCTTAACTCGTTATTCTCGTATTGTTAACGAAAGATTCCATTTTAATGGCTATAAAAGCATCGTGAAGCTTTGAAAACATAAAAGCATTCGAGTGGCTGAATCATTTGCCTCGTTCGCTTGTTGGGAGTCTAAACTTTAAAAGAAGACCGAATCTGCTACAGCCCGAGTTGAAAGCGAGTCCAATCTATCGAATATTTGAATGTACCCACAGTACCATAGAACCTGAACTGAACTGACCCTATTATAAAGCGTGGAATTGGTCTTCTCTCTAAAGGGTCGGTTCTGGTCCTAAAATCAGGCCAGGGGGGAACCCGTGTTAGGGTTAACGTGGACTTATGTAAATCAGGCTACATGAACATGAACAACCCAGCGTTGGCAGCACAGATCTTTGGTCTTCTCTTCACTCAAATTAATAGCGACGAGCTAACAAAGAAAAAGAAAAGTTGACGAGGACGAGGTGGAATAGTGGAAACTCCGAAAAAAGCTTAATCTTAAGGAAAATTCCCGAGTGCCAATTTAGTATCTGTACTTTAAATTGTGACAATATAATACTCAAACTTTCAATTTACAACAATTTGGTATCCAGTATTAAATTTCTATTAAAAAGTCTTGAATACCCCCAGCTCTTCTTCTTCCTCCTACCTGGTCCCCGATCCTCTACCACTTCTGCTTCTGCCTTCATCACCACGTACCCTTCGAGCGAGTCCCCTGTTAAGTCCGGCAGGAATTTGGTCCTCTTCAAGTACTTGTTCGACTCCACATGAGCTCTTCGCGGTGGTTCCAGCAGCACATCCTCGAGTCCATCCAATGCCGCCTTCTTGGCTTCTGAAGGGAACGCGCAGAGGCGCCTCTTATTTGGCCAAAACCTCTGTAAACCCTTTTCTTTTGTATAGATTTTTTCAGAAGGAGAAGTCTAATTTGTTGGGCGAAATTTCAATCGCCATGTCTCAAACTTCGCCGGAAAACTATGACCGTCTCCTTCATCAGTATCTCAACAACTCATCATCCATTCGAGATGCTTTACTTGAACCCCTCCCCCAACCGTCGTCTCTCGAATCAGYATTTGTCCGTCTAAATCTCTCCGGAAACCCTTCTCTCCAATCTTCGTTCCTTCCATTGGCACCCCCCCGCTTACGACGATGCACCGATGCTAGGAAATCAATCCATTAGCAATCGAACTTCTACAAATGAAGGCTTACTGTCTTTCTCTTTTCAGCAGATGCAACAAGCCACGATCGAGTTGCAGCAATTAAAGCTACAAGACGCCGTCTTAGGCCAGATCGCTGCGTTTATGCGGAACCATGACCGTAATCCTACTCTTCCTGACACTTTGGATTGTTTCTCCCCAACCGTTTTCAGCAACAATCCACGTATGAAGTTCTTGAACCGTAGAGAAGGATTAGATGTAATGGCATCTCAGAATGGATATGGGGGATCTTGTTGTAATCGCCATTCTAGGAATCAATCTTGCCTCCAGCGGAGGACACCATCTACACGAGAGTCCATGAAGCGGAGGGCAGAACAGAAAAGATAGATGGTCCGGCGTTAGAGCTGGAGAATTCGAATATGGTGAGGGCCCTGTCATGTAGTCGCCATCTTCATCATGAGTACTCGTCTTTGGAAGAATTAAGGGGCCGGATAATGGAGGTGGCCAAGGATCAAAATGGGTGTCRTTTCTTGCAGAAGAWATTCGARGAGGGRAGCGAAGAGGAGATAGAGATGATCTTCTCGGAGGTGAAGGACCATGTGAGCCAGTTAATGGTGGACCCTTTTGGGAATTACCTTGTTCAGAAGCTTATARAAGTATGCAATGAAAATCAGAGAACAGAAATTCTTCATGTTGTTACGAAAGAGAAATTTGAACTTGTTGCCATATGCCTTAATCCTCATGGGTACCATTGGTTACTCTGTTATTGTTTGAGAGAAATGTGAACAAATAGATTCAGGGTCTTGACTCTTGACAATGGTGGCTTCCGTCAGGTTTCAAGAATAAATCCATATGTTTGGTGGATGAACTGTTCTTGGAGTGCAAACACCGAGGACTGGTGGGAGGAAAAAGAAAGGCTGGGGGTATTTTAAAATTTTTTTATCTTTTACAAGTTGAAAATTCAGGTACTAAATTGTCACCATTTAAAGTACAGCACTAAATTAACACTCGACCTAAAATACAGGATACCTATGGAAAATTTTCCTTAATCTTAATGTCAATTATGACTTCAGTCAAATCTATCAAACGTGGACCCCAGACCCCTTCAAGTTTTACTTCCCGGCTCACATCGAACAAAGATCGGGAGCACCGACCCGGTATATAATTGTACAGTGAGCTTCCCTTTTTAATGGCCAAAGAATTTGGAATATGGTGAGTTGAGCCGCTCTAGGCTGCCAATCCTGTCCGTATTTCTCCATAAAATTTATATCAATCAGATGTGGATTTAAATTCATCGATTTGATTAAAATTCAAGTCTAATAAAAAGTTATTATATATAATATATATAGATATTATACATAAATATAAAGTTTATAAATAACAAAATTTAATATTTTATATGTATCAGTTGATGGTTATTTAGTTTGTATCTGCATCTTCTAATTTGAATTTTCATTATTTAAACACCTCAAAACTAAAAATACTAAAAATAAGTAAACAGCGTCTAAAGTCTGAACGTCAAACGGTTAGAGACTCAGAGAGGCAGAGACTTTCTAGTTTAGTAGTTCTAGCAATTTCGACTTTCCAAGGCATATTAGGAAGTACAAGGTCACTAATGGACCTGACACCTTATTTATGGAAAAATTGAAGTATAAAACTCTATTTGACTTTGTAGTTCGTGGGCTCAACCAAACATATGCAGGCTTGTAGTAGTTTGTGGGGTTTTAATGGGCTCAACCGAACAAAAAGCCGAATCGAACCGAATTCAGTTTGGTTTGGTTATATAGTATATTTCAGTTCGGTTCATTTGGATCAAATGGTTAAATTGAAATGTTAGTTAGGCCTTCGGTTTGAACTGAACTGAACCGAATCAACCGAATGTACACCCCTACAACCTATATATCACATGGATCTCTTCTAGTTTCATCTAATGTGGATTCTTTAAAAACCATAATAATAATAGTGCCTCAAACATGATAACCATTGTTTTAGAGCTATAAACCGGTTCATGCCGCCCACGGCTTAGCATGGCCCGACACAACCCATCACTATAGCACACGGGTCGTGCCAGACTTGGGTTTTTAGGCCCATGGGCTGACACAACATGCACGACATGACAATGCGGACCATTTTGGCATGGGCCCGTAGCGAGTCAATGTGGCCCGCCTACATCATATAGCCTTTGGGGGGGTCCCCAACGGCTAGTTTTTGCTTTTGGGATTTTTGGACTGCAATCCCCTCAGAGATTGAATTTGCAGCCCCCTCCTAGTGTACTAGTAGCCCCCCTATAAACCACATCCTGCCCGTGAATTTGGCATCAATCCTCGGGTAGGATTCAATCCACCCCTAGTCTAGTAGTAGCTCCACCTAAGGGTGGACTGAACGGTAAAAATGCTTTTGCTTTTTAGGGGAGTTTTTACATAACAACTATATAACAGCTAGTTTGGGGGGCATTTAGGTAAAGTGATAATTAGCTTTATAAGGACCAAAGTAATACCCCTCCCAACAACTAAAAAAGGCTAGCTTTTTAGGTATTTTGGGCAACTGAATTAATTCCTACTCCCATAAATACCCTTATCCTCCGCCATTGTCATCACACCAATTTTTATACCCTCTCATATTCTCATATACTCTCTTGTACACACTCCAATACTCTCTCTCTACTCTCTACTCTCTAATTTTCAATTTTGTTCAAGTTTCAACAAGAAGAAGGCTTACTCAAATATCTCAATTTAGCAATTTGGGAGGCTTGAAGGCTTCAATAGTTAAAATCAAGTTGAGATTCTGAACCGGTAAACCAGGTAAGTTGCAATTAAATTAATTTTTATTTTTTTTAGAGTTTAATACTATAACTTTTTAAAAAATGGCTAACTCCACTCAAAACTAATTCAACATGTTCAACTTCGACGATATTCTGTCATAGTACAATAGTGTCAATAATGATATGGATGTTATTGATGCTGTCAGAGTTCTCACCCCTAGTATTGTTACTAGGGGAAAAAAGGAAAATAAGTTGAATAGCCTGGTGTAGAAATTATTTAGCATAAAAGAGGTTAAAGGGAAGGGGAAAAGAGTTGTTTGCTGTAAATGTATGAGTGATTTTAGTTGTAGTAGCAAGAGTGGTACTAGCCATTTTGATAGACATATGGCCGCTCATGAGAAAAATGAAGAAGAAGAAGAAAAAGGTAAACAATTATCACAAATACAAACTGGGCATGAGTTTTCTTTTCTTTTTTTTTGGTAGTCTTAGATATTGTCAAGAAAAAACAAGACAAGAATTAACAAAATATATTGTACATGCTGAAGAACCATTTTTATTACTGAGGACACTAAGCTTGAAAGATTTTCACAACATTCTATAAAACCCCAATTTAAAAAAGTTTCTGAAAATAATATTAGATCATATACTTAAAAATTTTTATTCATGCAAACAAAACTTAATTTCTACCTTATCAACACTTAATTTTAAAGTTGCAATTACTTCTAATATTTGCACTTCTAAATATAATATATAAGTTATATTTGTGTTACTCAATATTTTATTGATGAAAATTGGCTTTTACAAAAAAGAATTTTAAGTTTTAGTAGGCTTGAATGGCCACAAAATAGCCCAACAATTGCTATAAATATTTTGAATACTTTACATAATTATAGAACTAAAAATGAACTTTTTTCTATTAGTTTTGATAATGCTATAATGATTCAACAATAAATATTTTAAAATCCCAATTAAAACTATGTTTAAATAATAACTTATTTCAAATTATATGTGCATGTCACATCTTAAATTTATGTGTTCAAGATACATTAAATATTATTTCTAAAGTTAGAAATTTTATTTTATATATATATATTAGACGTTCTAGAATGAAAAAACAAGAATTTAAATATTTATATCAAAATTATGGTTTAAAATATAAAAATTTTGTATTAAATGTTTAACATAGGTGGAATTCCACATATTCTATGTTAGAAAGTTGTATTTCATACAAATATATTCTTATTAATTTTTATAATGAAAAAATGCCAAATGATTTTACAAGTGAAAATGATTAGAAAAATGACAGTTTGTATAAAATATTTTTTACAAATTTTTTATGATACAACTAATGAATTTTTAGGTGTTTATTACCCAACTAATTTTTATATAATCATATATTTATGATTAGTGAATGTTTTGAAAAATATAGAAATAATTCAAAATTTAAAAGTATTGTTGAAATAATGGAAGCTAAATTTTAAAAAATATTGGGAAAAGTTTCTCTTCTTTATTGATTCGCTACAATATTAGCTCCTACGATTAGGAAAGATGGTTTAGATGTTTTAATTGAATCATATTATGAAAATATGAATATTAAAATTAGAAAGAAAAAAGAAGAAATTAATAATTTATCATTTGAAATGTATTAGTTTATATAAATCTCAATTATTAAGGCATAGGAAAACTTGCACAGGTGTAACTTCTACTTCTAAAACATATAATTTTAGTAATGGAAGAGAAAAAAAAGGTTTTTTAATAAACAAAAGGCATAAACCTACTACCACTTCATTATCAAGTTCATTTGTGGAACTTAATTTTTATTTACACGCTAAATTTTCTAATTTAAATGATTTCTTTGACTTGGAGAAAATAAATTATTTTGATATTTTAACCTGGCTGAGTGAACATGAAAAAAAAAATCATCTAATGCACGTGATCTACTAACCCCTCCAGTGCCTAAAGTTCCATTAGAGTCTTGTTTTAGTATAGGTAATAGGGTGTTGGATGACAAGAGAAGTTGCATGGATGAAGAAAGCTTGGATATATGCATGTGCTTGAAAGATTGATTGGATGCTGAGGATAGACTATAAGATAAAGGAGGGCATGACATTTCACCTGATGTTTCACCAGATCAGGGTCAAGGAAATGGAGATGGAGGTGGTACTTAAAAAAAAATGAAGTCAATATTTTTTTGTATACTCAATAATTGTATAGCATTTTTATTTTTTTTAAATTATTTTAACTTTTTCAATTTTATTTAAATTATTTGTTATTTTTTAGTAATACCAATGCAATTTTTTATTTTTAATTTATAATTTTATTATATGATTTTTTTTTATTTTATTCCACTTCCAATATTCGATTCACCCATTGTATTGTTCAAACTCAAATGAAATAAAATTTCTATTTTTTTTCAATTTATTGTCTATTTTCTATTTTGTAAAATTTTTATTTTTCCCAAAACTAGTTTGTATCATTTTACTTAACAGAAAATGAAAAAATAATAAAAAAGTCAAAAAAGAAAAAAAAGACGCGCCCAATTCGGCCAAGCCTATAGCACGGCCTGTACCCCGCCTTGCCCAAGCCCACGGCATGGTCCAGGCCTGCCTGGGCTTGTAGATAGTGTGCCTCCTGTTTACACAGTAACTTCTTTGTATGTGGGGTTCATATAAAAGATTAATGTGGCACATCATGATTGCTCATTATCCTTATGAAAAACTATTGGTTTTCATTTACAATTTTTCCTGAAAAAACGAGAAAAAACATGTGTTTTCATTTATTAACTAGTCCCTTTCTCCTAAATAAATTGAATTCAATTTGAATTTTGTTTGTCTAACCGTATATGGTAATGGATCTCTCGGTGACCGGACTGGGCCAGCCAAAGAATGGTCCAATCCAAAACCTAGGAATACTTACTTCTAGGGATGAGTAAATGGAATCAAAGTTGAATTGACTTATTATTAGGTAGGGTTTGGCTCCAAATTCTTGAGATCAACCCCCACCCAATTTGGTTCCAAAGTCTAG